CTCTTCAAAGACAAATATCTTCGAGGAACATGTTGAACCCCACACAAACTCCAGCCCCCCCGTTCATGATGTGTGCGTGTACCGGGCGAATTGGTGGTCTCCATGTCGGAATATTAACCGCGTAGGTGACACACGATACCACAACCCGTGGACCGATTTTCACAGCGCGATCATTCCTTTCCACGGAAGACGATGCATATTATACCAGTATTTTTCTATTCATAAATGAAATGATACGCGTTCCTTCAGATGGATGCTGCTTACTCCTCCTCCTCTAATTCTATGCATCTACTAGCATTTTGTGTGTACATCTCAGGGTGGACTACTGATATTGTTGATATTTGGGCCCTTAACCTACATGTACTGCTGTAGTAGACCTTATGCGACACAACAACAAAAAACACCGTAAATTTCCACACAACTTCGGTCTGCAAGTGTGCGGCAGTGGACATAACACCCGTTCATGGTCTTGGGGATGTAGGCTTGTGGGTGTTGACGACCCGTATCGGCTCTCGAAGAGGTGTTGTTCGTTGTCGTCAAGAAAGGTAGTCCTAAGTTACTCTTGAGTTGGTGCGTGCTCTCTCCGCAGTGTGTCGCGCAAGTAGAACGTGCGTATGCAGCAATGACCACTGATGTACATAAGCAGAGCACCCGATTGTGCAATCTTATAGTCACAGGTCAAAGGCCAAAACTCAAGTGCTGCGTGTAAGCCTGTACGTGTCCTGTACGGCTGCAGCGCGGCGTGCCAACTCACTTGTTGTGCCGCTGGACCCTTTAGTACGAGAGGCTTGGCTCTGAGTACGCAGGAAGGTCCGAAGGAGAAGAAGACGGTTTGGTGGAAATGTAGTTACTTGATCAGTTGGAGACCAGAAAGAATGTAGAAAAACAGAGGGGTAGTGAACCCCGGAGAAGTAGAGAGGGTTGAGAAACCCCAAATAGGCAGAGGGTTGGAGAACCCCCAAAGAAGCAGAGGGTTGGAGAACCCCCAGAGAAGCAGAGTGAGAGGATGGGGCGAGTACGCGCTCATCCTCGAAATCATGGAATCACATCTATCCGACAACGTCGACCAATCACACGTGTTCAGAATACGGTACTGGTAAGACGGACCGAGTGGCACGACACGTGCCGGATTGAATTTCTTTTCGCCAATTCCCCCCCCCCCAACGCTGCACCATTGCACCAACCCCCCAGTAGTAGTGATTTCGTACCATTACAATGTATCGCTGGTTAGTGGCCATGTTTGCGTGTTTGCTTGTTCGTTGTTAGTGGTCTCTCCACCGTGTGCCTTGTTCTGCCTCATACTTCCTGTTATTTTCGGCCTGGTCCCTCTTTGTCCTCGCCCTTTTTTTCATTTTTTCATTTTATTTTCATTTATTTTCTCTTCTCCTTACGGTTTCCATTTTTATTTTTTCTCCTTTTTTTTCTCTTTGTCCTTTTTTTTCTCTCTTTTTTTCTCTCTTTTTCTGTGCCAGATGGACTTGTCTCTGCTTGCGTTGTGAAGTACCAAGATTGAACCAAGGGAGTGTGCCTCTTTCTCTCCGGCCCATGATAGATAGTGACTGCTAATCTCAGTTGATACCCCGCATAGCGTGAAGAGGGAGCGGAGGATCCCAGAATATCTGTCGTTGATTTCTATTGACTTGCGGACCCCTCGGGGCCAGATTATTTGAGTGTACCTTTTTAGGGTAAGTTAACCTGTGACCACGGGAATCGACCGCGTCGAGTGTTGGATCAGTACGGACATACGAAGGTACTGG